TTGCTGATGGAGAACCTGGGGCTCTGAAACAGGTAGTCAGTTGGCTAAGATCATATGGCTGCTGAATGGTGGGGCTGGGAGGTGAACCCAGCTCTGAGTCTAGAGCTCTTCTCCTCATTGAAGGAGGCATGGCCCTCACAGTGCCCCACTCAGGCAAAGGGAATGATTTTCCCAGGGGTGCCCCTCATCTTCCCTGCATAGAGAGGCTCATGGCAAGCCTACCATGCCAGGTGCACCATTCTCTGGCATGGAACCCATGGGCAGTTTGGTGTCTCCTTGGAGACAAGACATTCCTTGCCACACTGCTGGTGATAATGGTAACAGCAGTAATTTCCAGAGTATTAACAACATGCCAGGCGAGATGCCAGGTCCTTTGGGGCATGTTATCTCGAATCCTTATTAGAATCCTTTCCCCCAGGTGGCTATGTCCCCATTTTACAGAAGAGGCTCAGGTAGATGCCAGGACTGTGTCGTCCTAAGCCTGGCTCCAACGGGCAGGGTAGGAGGTTGCTGAGGGTCAGCAATCACCTACTCCAGAGGAAATCCTCGCAGCCTTCTTCCCGGACTCGGAGAAAATCCGGCAAACAAATGAGGCTATACTAGCCCAGAGCCTGGGGAATACAGGGTGAGCCAGGAGTCAGCTGTGAATAATGCCTCCGTTCAGCAGCAGAAGACTGCAGCTTAAGGCCTTTGCTTACCATGCTACCTGCAGCCAAGGGGCTGGGGTTAAAAGGAGGGTGCCATCCCAGGGGCCAGAGGGTCCCCAGACTTGGGCTGGCAGAGTGAGAGCCCTTCAGCCCTCAAACCCCCAGCGAGAGCACTACCAAGTCCCTTCTATAAGGCCAAGCGCTGGCTTTTCTTTCCAAGCGGATCCATTTCCAGGACAGACCCTCTACCTCAGGCTGTGGGCAGGGATGTCTGCAGTTCTGAATGAGACAGATGGGGGCCATGCCAGCTGGGATACCTACTGGTAGAGGAGGTGCTGCTGGTAACTGGCACCCTGCAGGAAGGCCTTATGGGAGGCCTTGCAAGCTGGGAGAAACAACAGGCCAAAAAGGCTGGAGCCTGACTTTGCTCTCCGCGTGCGTGCCACACCCCTACTCTGCCAGAGCCAGGGCTCTGAGGAGAGGTGAGCCTCCCTGGAAGGCCTTTCCCGGTGTAAACACTTCCAAGGAAAGAAGGAAAGGAATGTGCTAGGAAGAGCCAGGTTGGGCCACTGGAGCCTCAGCCAGCTGGGGTAGATTTACCAAAAAAAAAAAAAAAAAAAATCACCCCAGGACTCAGTTTTTTTTCTGAAACTCGAAGTCTCGCTGCGGCCCTCCCCCCCCACCCCGTTCCGCGGGTGGGCGCACCCTACCTGGGCAGGCGAGCCCAAGGGGACCGTCGCAGGCTCAGCGGAGCCCTGTAACTCTGCTCGCCGAGAGGCGAGGCCGTCCGGGCAGGCCCGGCGGGCGGAAGGGCGCCGCCAGCCCGGGACGCCGAGGTGGGAGCATGGCCCGAGCAGGAGCGCCGCGTCTTTCGGCGCACGCAGGCTCCCGCGCGCACACCAACGGATCTCGGGTCGCCAGGCCTGGGAGCTGTCTTACAAGCGATTAGACTCCATTTTGTGACAGATTTTTGGACTCTCCCACCGACCCTCCCCCCTTCCGGAGCCTCCTCCAGGAATTCGCCACCTCCTCAGGATAGAAACGCTTTCCAGACGAGCGACAGACGGCAAGAAAAAAGACTTACATAATTCTATTTGGCCAAGCCACCAAGAAAAAAAATGGGGCGGGGGGGTTATGTTGTCTTTTTTTTTTTTTTCCATGTGTTCTCCGGTGGAGGAAGGAGAGAGAGGTGTTCGTGATTTTGCGTTTGGAGGCCACGTTTCCTCCCGGTTTCTAACCCGGTTTGAGTCCGAGAAGGAGCTCCGGCTGCCGAGGGGCCAGAGTCCCGGGCGCAGAACGATCCGACGCTTTTTTTTTTTTTTTTTTTTAAAGAAAGAGCCCCCAAAAACACGTACGGAGAAAAAGTAAACTTTTCGAGTTACGCGTGAAAATGCCCAAATGCCGTGGCCCTCGCTCTGCTTCGTCCGTCCAGGACGTGCGGGTGCATTTTATCAAATGCTATTAAATGTGCCCGAACGTCAATTAATCACCCCCGTGGTGCGTAAAATAACGTTGCGCTTCTGGGTGTCCCGGATCTTTAAAACAAATCGAAAGGAAGAAGAGACGCTTAATAAAAATAGCAACCTTTCTAAGGACCAAGCCCCGCAAGCTCCTCGTGGGCCGAGGACATATTTTCCAAAAGTTATTGGCGGGGGTGTGTGTTAATTTCCCTATACCGCTGACACAAAGGCTCGACAAAATCGAGAAGGCACGTTTCTGCGCCCACTTGCCTGGATTCTCGTCTGAAAAGCATTTACGCAGTGATGCAATAAATATGCATCGCGATCCTCAAAGAAAAAAATAGTGAAATACACTTTTATTGTGCAAAAGAACATCGCTTCCCCCGTGAGCCCCTGTCTGCCTCGGTGCGCTGGCTCTCCCTGAGAAACGCTGAGGCGAGACCCGCCAGGGTATTTGTCCATAGGATTGTCTTGATAACAACCTCTGCTCAGCCCCCAACCGGCCGGCCTAGTTGCAGATACCTAATTGGCCTTATTGGAAGAAAGAGGGGGCGAGGGAGGAGGAGGGCACCGTGAGGGGTGTGAATAATGCCCGCCTGGAGGCTGCTGCCTTGCAGGACCCAGACTCGGAACTCAGGACCTGAAATTCTCCCAGCGCCAAAATTCACCGGCAAACACATCCCAACTGAATTGAAGCATCAAGCTCTCAGAGAGGCGCCTTTTTTCCTCTCCTTTTAAAAAACAAATAAGCTTTCAACAAAGCAAACACAAATGTTTAATGTTTAATTGTTTTGTAAAATTAGGGGGTTGGCTGCTGTGCTGTAAGGGAACATCCTGCTCAAATTTTGTGACTTTACAGTTCTGTGCTCCGAAGAACCAGGGAGCATCCTCTCGTTTTAAACAGAAGCTCCATAAAGGACTGAGGAGTAGGGGAAGAGACCTGGCAGATGCATATAAGAGGTTGGAAAGGGTCCTTCCAATATGTAAAATATTTTTCCCCCAAAAAATCTGCATACATGACTTGGAGGCCCATTTCCAGTTTCCTGGGCCTCCTGCCCCCACATGTTGAGTCATCCAGGCCGGTGGCTAAGTTGGAACTGGCACTGCCAGAGCTGAGCTCAGGGTCAGGCAGGCAGGGGTGCAGGCCAGCAGGACGTGGGTGGGCTGGCAGCTGGTGATCCCTGCCTCTTGGCCCGACCAAAGCCCCCAACCACGTCTACCCCAAACTACTTTCCCCATTTTATTTGTGCTGCTCTATGCCTGCTTGTGGCCGAACTGACTGGCGGCCACACGTTCTCCTGGAACTAGAATTATATCAGTCCAGGGCATAGCAAAAACCCCACCAACGGCAGTGTGCCTAATTTGGGGTGCTCCAGACAGAGGGAGAGGTCTCAGCAAGACTCTGGGATCAGCAAAAGAGTTGACTCTCTAAAATGTACCCCAATTACTTCCCGCAGAGCCCCCAGTGGGCAGGAAGAGTAAGGTGCAAAGAGCAGGTCCTGTCGGACCATCCCGACCGGGGAGCACAGCCAGATTAGGTGCTGTTGTGGGGCTCAGCCAGAACCTTTCAGAATAGAACCTAATACCCTCTCCAGAGCTCTAGCCTACAGCCCCACTATTTCCAGGCCTCAGACAAGCAGCTAGAGAGATGGAGATGGGACACCCCAGCTGCTCCACTTCCCATCAGGGCCTGGATTTAGGAGCAGTCCCTGGGCAGACAGGTAGGCTGCAATCATCAGCAGGCATTGGCAGCCCAACCTTTTCCTGGAGGCTTGGGCACACACAGCTCCCCTGGAGCCCCAAACCACCTGAGAGCGTACTCATCCTGCAGGCCCATCCAAAAGGGTCTTTTGGGCTTCACTAGAAAGTTCTCGAATGCACCCACTTGTCTCCGCAATGCCTGCTTGGGGGTGCCCACACCCTTCTTTCAGCTATTGCTCCTCTCTGCCTCCCTCTCAATCACACTGCCAGGCACAAAACCCAGAGGGTCAAAAGAAAAAGCCCGCATCTGCTCTTATCTGTCCCAGTACCTTGCCAGACAAATCCATAGTCTCAGCTAAAAACAAAAGTCAGCAGGTAGGGCTCAACCCATAGTCTCTGGACTCAACCCTGAGGCTTAGGCTACACCAGGGCAGAGCAAGCCACCCCCCTCTCCAACACAAACAGTGTGCAAGAAAGAGGGCCCGCTGGGGAAGGCTGATTTGGGCAGTTCTTCATCCCCGCCCCCAGTAGCCCCAGATTGTGGTTTGCCACCTCTTGAGGTCCTCTTCCTAGACAGCTCCTCCAGCCAGCAAAAATTGTTAAGTGCAAAATTCCCGCATGGAACGGTCTGGAGGAAATGGACACTTTTCTATCAGGGACTGAAAGTACAACAGGGAGCATGGCAGGAAGGGGGCATCCTGAGCTGCTCAGCCAGTTCAGTACCCCCCCAACTCCACTTCCTTGCTCCAGGAACCCCAGACCTCCATAAAACCCTACTTTTGGGGAGCACACCACCAGGGCCTGGCTCCCCTAAAGCACTGTTTTCATTTGGGAATCAATTCTTGGTCCCCAATTTAGGCCTTAGTGAGGTCAGGCCCTGTCCCTGCACAGAGGGATGGTATCCCCCTACTTGGCCAAGGGCCTTGTCCTGTACCCCAACCAGTGCAGGTTTCCGGACAAAAGATGGCAACTAGGGACTGCCAAAGGCTCCCAGCCACCTCACCAGTGGCAGCCAGGTTGGGATGGTTCGTCCCTGCCCGGCGTCGCGCAGCCCTCACAGCCCTCAGAGCTGATGGGCCCAGCGGCGCGCAGAGGCGGCAGTTGGGAGGACGCGGGCCTGGCCTGGCAGTAGGGGTGGCCGGGCTCAAGTGCCGGGCGGCGGCAGGGAACGAGGAGGACGAGAGGCGCTTACTGTTGGTAGTCTTGTTTGCAGTACAGTTTCCGATCCCGGAAGTAGCAGCTGGTGGTGAGGGCTTGCTGACATGCCGCGCACTGCAAACACTCCTCGTGCCAGGACGACTCGTTGACTCGCATCAGGAAGCGGTCGGAGATGGGCCGCTGGCAGCCCTCGCAGACGGCGGGATGCGGGCAGTCGGAGCCTGCAGCGCACAGGGCGAGAGCCGGGCGGTCAGCGCCGACCAGCCTGGCCCCAGCGTCCCAGCCGCGCGCTGCCCGCAGCCCGGGGCCCAAGGGCGAGGGCAACCCGGGAGCGCCGCCCGCCGCCTGCGCTCCCCTGGCCGCCGCACCAGGGCCCCGGCAGCCTCAGCTGGTTCGTCCCAGTCCGCGGACTCCCGCGCGGAGAGGCCTTGGGTCTCGAGCCCTGGCTCGGCGCTGCACTCTCCCTTTCTCCGGAGATCCAGCGCTTGGTGTTACTACATGAACCGGCACGGCGCGGGGTAGCCGGCTGGGACCAAGACAGGCGAGGTGAGGCTGGGGCGCTTGCTGGCTGACACGCCCCACGGTGGCGTTCGTGGTCTTCTGTCCCCAATCTCCCCAAAACCTGTAGTTTGGGTGGCCCAGGGGACATTTTTCTCTTAGAAGCTCCCCCCACCAAGTGACCTGGCACCGCTCCCAAGCTTGCTAAGGTGACTACTTGGATCCTCCATCACTCTTGCTTCCCGCCTCCTACCCCCTCGGGAGTGGCAGCTCTAGCACCAAGGCCCAGTGAGGATGGTGGGTGACAGCTGGAGCTGTCCTGGCCTCCCTCCTCCTAGGTGGTGTCCCTACAAACCTCTGTGTCCTTACGATGCCTGTTTAGGGGTGCTTGTTGCCCCTCTGGCAATCACTGCAGGAGTCTAGTCTGTGTCCTCCCGCACCCCCATGTCCTGCAAACCATTTCCTTATTCCGTTGGTCTGGACGCCTGTGTCCATCTCGGGAGGATGCCCCTGTCCCCTGCCCATGACCACTCGGGCGTTCTGACGACCCACTCACCCAGCAGCACCCCCAGAGTGGCGGGCCCGGGGCGCAGGGCGTGCTCCTCCATCTTGATGCCGTCCAGCATCTTGGCGCAGTCCGTCTGCCCACGGGGGAAGCACCTCTCCAGCGACTCGGGACCTGTTGCTATATCCATGGGACGCGGGGCGCGCCGCGGGCCCCGCCGGCCAGGGTGCTCACCCACCCGCCCGCCTGCCCGCTCGCCGCCGCCCGGGAGCCGGGGAGGTGCGGCCCCCGCGGGGTTCGGGCTGCGGCAGGGGCCGCCGGGCACCCCCGGCGAGCGTGGAGCGCCGACGCGCTCGCCCCGGGCCCCGGCGTAGTGCGGGCGGGCCGGGGCGGTGCCGTCCGCTCCGCGTTCTCCCGGGCACTCGCAGCCACGCGCGCCGGCTCCTCTGTCACCTGCTTGTCAGCCCCGGAGCCGGGCTGCGGCGGCGGCGGCAGACGGAGCCGCGGGGAGGAGGAGGAGGAGGAGGCGGCGGCGGCGGCGGCGGCGGTGGCGGCGGCAGGCGGGGGAGGGGGCGGGGGTGCAGGGGCGGCCCCGCGGGCTGGGGGGGCGCGGGCGGCGCAGCGGGGTCCCGGGCGGGGCGCAGCGGGCCGCGGGGCTCTAGGCGCGCTCCCCGCACTACTCCAGTGCCATGGTGCGCCGGAGGAGCAGCTGGGTTTAGAGCTGGGACTGGAGGCGGAGGGATACTCCGGCCGGGAGCCGCCTCACCCCTCCTCAAACTTCCTGACATTTGAACTCATTGGTGCGCCTCGTATCCCTGCGCCGGGATGAGCCGGCGGCTCCACGTCAAATAGTGCCGTCGCCTCCCCCCCCGCGGGAGGGCTCCCCGCGCCCCCAGCTTGCGCCCCGCTCCGCGCCTGGCTTGGAGCGTGGGCCCCGGCGCCCCGGCCAGACCGAGCGCCGGCTGGCCCCTTGCAGAAGTTTGGGTCACCTTCGAAACAAATCCTTCTGCCCCACCCCTTTGAAAAATTGATTTGGGAGTTGGGGAATGAAGGCTTTCTTTTTTCTTGCTTGCTTTCTTTATTATTAATATTTTCTAAAGCTTCAGCGCTAAGAGGAGTGGCCCCATGCGAGGCCAGACTGCACGAACGGCGGGGAGCGCAGCGGATCCACCAGGGGAAGGCGCCGGCCGAGAGTGGCCGCCCGGGGACCCCATCTGTCGGCCGAGGTAGGTCGCTCCGGGCTGAGTTGACGTCCCCTGGGCGGCGGCGCCTTCCCGGGGCCCTTTTGGTTCTCGGAGAGGCTGGCTGCTGGATTGAGAGACAGGGACCGTCAGGCGGGAAGAGCTGCTGGCCTGGAACTGGCCAAACGGAGTCCTGGCCCAGGGAGAGGGGGTTGGGCCCCGGATTTGGGGTGAGGGGTCCGGAAAAGATTCAAGCGTGGCAGAGGTTGGGTATAGGGGTGAGCAAAGATCCTGGAAGGGCCCTGGGATCAAGGACGGGGGACACTGGGGAGGCGAGGAGGATCAGGCCCAGGTTAGGCGCGGAGAGTTTAGAGGGCGATTCGATCTAAGAATGGGGTCCCCGGGTGGAGGTGGGGGCCATGGATGAGAACCTGGCCTCGCAGGATTTGTAGTTGCACGGGTAGGGGTTGGTGGCCCTGGGGTCGGTAACTGTAGGCCCAGGACGATGTGTGTTCGGTTGCTCGATGGAAACGGGATTGGCGGCTGGGATAGGCTACTTTTGGTGGCGGGAGGGGGGGGGGCTGGCTAGGGGTCTTTAGGCCGCACCTGGCAGGGACAGAGCTCTGCTCAGACTGGGCAAGGTGGGCTTTGACGCTGGGGAGTGAAAGGTTGGCAAAACCGAGCCCCAGACTCTCGCGCCCGTGGGCCTGGCACCCACCCGGCCTGGCACCCGCGCTCGGTGCGCAGGCCGCTGCGTCCGGCTGCAGTACACCGTGCCTAGGCTGGCTCTGTCTTCGGCTCCTGGGTCTCCACAGAGGCGCGGCTCGCCCGGGAGCAGGGGGGCCGGTGCGGGCCCGGGGCAGGCGCTGGCTGACCCCTCGAGCCGCTGCGGGGCGGCCCCGGCCCCTCCCGGAACGGAGCAGCCGCGCGGAGCGGGGCGGGGGCGGAGGGCATGGGAGGCGGGTCCCCTGACCCCGCTGGAGGCGAGAGGGCGGATCGGATTTGGAGGCTGCCGGAGGCTTGGTCAGAAGTGGCCCCCTGTGCCGCGGGGCCCCGCGGAGGGGCCCGGCTTTGTGGAGGATTAGAAAGCTCCCGCCCCATCCCAGTACCCGCTTGTGCGTCGGTGGGTATCTGTGTGTGTGTGCGCGCGTCGATGCTCCGGCTTCGGAGTCTGTTGCATGCCTGTGCACCCGGGTCTGTGCACATACAATATTTATGTGTGCCTGAGACTTTCTGGGCTCGGAGTGTATGATCTGTGTATCTGGGTGTGATTCCCGTGCACATGTGTGTGTGCATCTGCAGGTCTTAACATGCCTCTGTATCTTCTGTGTGTTTGTAGGTCTTTGTGTGTGTCCCTGTGTCCGTGTCGTTGTATGTGGGTGCCGACGTCTTTGTGTTTATGGGATACTCTTCTGTTTTTGTGTCTTCGTGTCATCTTTGTGTGTCTTGAGTGTATCTTCGAGTTTCTGAATGATTCTGTGTCTGTGTGCTTGCATGTCTCTCGGAGTTTTTTGGGTTTTGTGTGTGTGTGTGTGTGTGTGTGTGTGTGTGCGCGCGCGCGCGCGCGCGAGGCTTTGTGACTCCGTATATTTCTACACGTCTTTGTGTGTCTGTATCCCGGCCGGTGGAAGAGGGGATTTGTAGCTTCTCTCATACGCTCTTGGTCCCTCGTCCTTGCGTAGCCTGGAAGGCCCTGAGCTCCCAAGGTTGGGCCTGGGCCTGGGCCTCCATCCCCCGGCATCTGGGGCGGGGGCGCGGCAGCTGCGGGAGAAGCCGGGCAGGCAAAATTCGGGCGCGCACAGCCCGGCGCAGTGCTGGCAAACCGACCGGGCGCATTCTGCCCTCTGCTGGCAGCGTTGCGTCCCTGCACCCACTATCTGTAGGCGAGAGGGTCCTGGTTCCAGGCCCAGACCCTCGCCTTCTCCTTCAGAGCGCACTCGGGAACCCTCTCCTGTCTCAGGCCGTGCACACTCACCCCAGACCCCACATTCCGGGTGCAGCGTTCCGTCTTCCCCCTCCTGTCGCCCCACCTTCCCTGTGACCGGCCTCTTCCTCTGGCATTTCTCCACTTCAGCCAAATGGGGGCTCCTGCAGTCTGGCCTCTGTGACTTCTGTGACCCTCGGGCTGGTGTCTAGAGCTGAGTCGGGGCCGCGGACTGCCCAGGGTCGCGTTCCCAGGGCCACCCAAAAGCAAGGTCTCAGTGCAGGAGGACATGCCAGCAGCCCTGCTCTGGTGTCCCAGGTTGGTCTGTCCTGGGGCACATAGAATCTTGGTACCTCACCCCCACACCCCTTCCCAAGTCACAGCCCATACCACCAGGGCCGACATTCGGAGGGCCACGGATGGTGCTCAGAGTCACCCGAGGCTGCCGGGTGCATGCCCGCCCCAGGCACTGGCTGCTCTTTCTGGTCTGGGAATGGGGCTGCTCAGTCCACAAACCTGGGATCCCCCTCTACGTCCTCCTGCTCCATCTAGTCATCCCCTCACCACACCCCCACACTCCAGATCACCATATAAGTCCTTTTCCTTGCTCTTTGTCCCGGCTCCCGGGTCCTTCTTTCCCCCAGCTGAGTCCGCGGTCCCGGGTCCTTCTTTCTCCCAGCTGAGTCCGCGGTCCCGGGTCCTTCGCACACAGACGTACAGAACACCCAGGTCTCTCTCAAGCACAGTCGCGGCTCCCGCCCTCCCCACCGCTTCCCCTGCTGAAGAAGCAGTCAGCTGGATGGTAAAATGGGAAGCCTAGGCCCCGAGTCAGGTACTGTCCACAGGCGGCTAGCGGCATCTTGCTCCGCACAATGGAGCCTGCCTGATCTGGCACCCGCCGTCACCCCCACAGCCTCCGGCGGCCCGGTCCCAGGACGCCCCCAGCCGCTCACACCCGGATGCTCCCGCCTATCTGGGATTCTCTGTGGCTTGGACTTCAGCCGCAGAAACAGCTTCAGATTTTCTCCACCTAAGGAAAGACCCAGCCGACTGTTTGGAATCTCTTGGAAGGAAGCAAGAACTGAGAGGGAAGCTCAGCGGGAGTCCCAGCTCTCCCAATCCTGCAGATGCTTCATCTCCACAGAGCCCTTCCCTACACCCCCCCTTGCTGCTCCTCTCTTTAGGGGCCCTGCGCTCCCTGCGCCTGCCTGTGCTACTGGTCTTCCCAAATGCGGCCCTGTGACCATCCCCTCCCCACAGTGGAGTCCTGTCCGTCCTCCCCTGGGCTGTGCTTCTGACCAGAGCCAAACCCAGGTCCCCTCCCAGTTTACAACCGCAGTTAGAAGCAAGGATTCTGGGTAGGGATGGAGTAGGGGGCGATGCCCAGCAGAGCCCTGCAGAGCAGGAAGCCTCGGAGGAGGGGCTGCACAGATGCCCGATTCCCCCTGCGGGGAGAGTCAGGGCTGCCAGGGCTGCCAGAGCGCTCAGACCCATCCCATGCTGCCCCCGCACCATTGGCCCTGGCAGTTCTCAGATCCACGGGAAGCAGACTGGACCAGAGCAACCCCAGGACAAGGCCTCAGTTGGGGGCCCCTGTTCCCTGGTGGCAGCTGGGATCTGGAAATCCAGGAGCTCTGGAGGTGGGGTAGGACAGCAACATCAGAGGTGGAGTGTCCCGGCTTTTGGAGCCGGTGGTGACCACACTCTCTTCTGAGGACCCCAGCATGCCTGACCCCAGGACATGTGGGGCAAAGGCTCAGGCCCCTTCTCAACGAGAGAAGAGTGCATGTGATAAGTAACCTGGTCACCTTCCCACAGCCCAGAGAAAAGTTTCCATGGCCTTCCTGTGCCTGTGGAGAGCTCACAGAGCCCCCGAGCCAGGTGGAGGTCCAAGAAGAGGAATGACGGGGAGAGGCCCAAGCTGGGGCCCCTCTGACTCAGGGCTGAGAGTGGGTTCTCACTTTCTTTCCCATCTGGGGTTTTCTAGGCTAGTGGGAGGGAGGTGGCAGAGGATTTTAGGCAGGGTTTGTTGGTGAGATATAGTGTATATAGCTCTGAGGCTGTGTGCTGGTACATGCCTGTCTG